GTACGTGTTTGTACCTAGAAATAGCTAGTCGTCTATTTTAGCATCTGACCTAATTCTGTCTTTGCAATAATGTAACAAAAATGGAAATAAAACAAACAAGAAATCACAAACCTTGTGTCATCTTCGCCTTAAGAGTACCATAGCAATAAATATGTGGAAACATTTCTTTCCATAATTATACTCCAGTTATGCAACTAAAGAAATAGGCCTAGCAAGTTGAGTGATTTTCTCGGGCTTATGAATATAACAGAAGCATGAAAAGGCTTTTAAAATGTACCGCATGCAATTATCAATGTATTGGCAACTAAAGAAATAGGATAAATATGGAAATACATATTTCCTTTACAATATTATTATAACATGATCAGAACATTTATGGTAAATGGAAACGTAACAGACAAGAAAAAAAACGTATGCGAAACTAATCTATTGACTATACTTATTCTATAGATTTTTATTTGATTCAAGCATTAATAAAAATTATATCAATATATATAGCAAGAACCAAAAAAACGTATCTCAAACTCGGTCAACTTCGTAACATCTACGTTGTTTCTGTAAAAAAAGAAAAATAGCACCAAGTTATACAGTAATATAGTAACAATAACAAACTTTAATACTAATAAAAATAATAGTTAATAAACTAATGTTACAGTAATTTAAATGACAAATTGGCCGGTTTTTCCAGATACAATGTAAATAAAAAAAAATAATATAATAATAATAATAATAATAATAATAATAATAATAATAATAATAATAATAATATATAACATCATATATTTTAGTATTTATTTTATTTGCTGTATTTGTTATGTAGTAGAAAGCGTAGGATTCATAAAACGAAAATAAAAACAATAACAAACTTTAATACTAATAAAAATAATTTTGTTGGGTTGAATTAAATGACAAATTGGCTATTTTTTCCAGATACAATGTAAATAAATAACAATAATAATAATAATAATAATAATAATAATAATAATAATAACAATAATAATAATAATATTAATAATAATAATATATAACATCATATCATATTTTAGTATTTATTTTATTTGCTGTATTTGTTATGCAGTAGAAAGCGTAGGATTCATAACAAAACGAAAATAAAAACAACAAACTTTAATACTAATAAAAATAATTGTTAATAAACTAATGTTACAGTAATTTAAATGACAAATTGGCTATTTTTTCCAGATACAATGTAAATAAATAATAATAATAATAATAATAATAATAATAATAATAATAATAATAATAACAATAATAATAATAATATTAATAATAATAATATATAACATCATATCATATTTTAGTATTTATTTTATTTGCTGTATTTGTTATGCAGTAGAAAGCATAGGATTCATAACAAAACGAAAATAAAAACCGTCCGATAATATTAATTGATAGTTTAGTAATAATAGTATTAATTTTATTTGCTTTTAAGTAGCCTGTTGTTACTTATTAGATAAGAAAATACAACAAAACATAAATAAAAAAAGTATGATAAACCGATTGACGAACTTGCAATGATAATTAGGCCTAGTTATATTAAATTTAGCGTTTCGAAACTCCATTGGCGCTCCGTATATTTGTTGACAACAAACCGCGACCGAAATGAAGCGCGACCGAAACGAAGCGCGACCGAAATGATCTGTATTCACCAGCTAGGCCTAGGCTACCCTACAGGCCTAGTAGTAGCAGGCTTAAGGCCTACCCTCTGCCTAGCTAGCCTAGGCTAATATAACTCAATGACATTATGCGTATTAAAGCAATGGTAATTTTGCAATGGAACAGGAGTAGGAATTATAAATAATTAATTAATTAACATTTATCTACCTAACTTGTTGAAAAAAAACTTTTTTGAATCTCCCTCCTCTCTCTCTCTCGGACCATCTTCTTGCGCATGCCTCCTCCTAGCCTGCTCTTCCTCTAGCTCTGGTCACGCTTCACTGGTTAAAAGTGGCTCTTTCTTGCAGTGTCAATCAAATAGATCCCAAACGTAACAACTGACCAATCAGAAAATCGTTAAGAACACGCGCTTGTCCACAAACGCACGTGTTTTACAAACTACGTACGTTTACGGTATCTTTTGTGGTACCTGGATCGGGGGACTTAGCGGAAAGTTCCATTTGGTAGCCTGGCTCTCCAAGGGCGTGAAATGACCTACTTCTGGTGAGTACAGTTTTAGTAGGCCTAAAATTCATTTTTTTTTTTTAAAGTCAATGAATACAAATGGCCAGTCAATTAAAAAAAACGAAATTACTTTCAAGCGTATGACTTTATTAATACACTAAATATGCATGTAACATATTTTCATTGTTTATAAGGAAAGAATAGACAGGGAAAATTTTAAAATGAAAAATTTAAATTTAAAGATAAACACAAATTAATCAAGCTTGCTTATACAATAATACATTCTAAAATATAATTCTGTACAATTATCAATCAATTTATTATTAAAATTCATTAGTTTTTTAATCTATTTAGCGATAAGTAAAAGAAGATCTAAGGAATAACATACTGAATTCTATCCTTCGCCACAATAGCACACACACGGACAATAAATACTGTATAGGAAATTTAGTACAGTATGTAGTATCATTCCTGATGATGACATAATTAATGTCGAAATATTGAATCCCAACATGATAGCGTGCATTTAATACAGTACAGTATATATAAATGCACTCTTGAAATTCAATGTATTCAAGAACCACCTCAAAACCATTTTATTTACAAGGACTTCATTTTTTGAATTGATGCAGTTTATATATCTGCAATTACCATAAATTCATCAACATATTCTATGAGGAAAATATCTTAAAATCTCCAGAATCCCAGATAATGCCTATCTGAAACAGAAACTCTGCCCAAGAATAATCAGCAAGATATACATGGCTGACTATTGTATAGTACACATAAACATTATCAGATATTGAATCATACTGTAGTGTTACACTAGATTGACCAATTACTGAACCAGAATGATTTTAGTCACAAAATGGACCAATTCCATGGTCAGCCTGGCAACTACTGAATAAAGCATGATGGGAAGACTTGCAGCATAATAGTTTATTAACAAATTATTCAGAAAACAATTACCATTTAAATATTAATTTTAATGTTGTTAATACATTACTAATGTACCAATAATATTTCTACCATAATGGTATCACAATCAAGAAGATTACTTTATTAGTAGCAGAAACTATTACCATTAATTAGAGACCTCACAAGTTACCAAAATTTTAAAATATACAGTAGTCACAATTATCATATATTTGACATAGCTAACACAAAATTCATGTTAAAAATTAACAGTAAACAAAATAGATTTTGTTAGCCAGTTTAGCTTATGCCAGTCTGATGTCATGTGTCTCTGATTTCTTTTCTTTTCTTTTGTTCTTAGTTCTGTATCAATTAATTTACATATTTCTTGTTTGGAAAAGATGTCCGACGAAGGTTATAGCTGATTGGGTGATTTTTTAACCTCTTTACATACGTCTCATCTGTAACATTGCTTTTTCTTTTAATTGGGCTTGGCGTCTCAGTAGTGATCCTTGACGTTAGCTCCCTCATCGAAGATGCCATGACAGATTCCCCACGACTGGGTTTATCGATAACTTGACTTGTCTTACTTTCCTGCACTTTGTAGTAAGAATTCAATGCCAGATTTACTCTCTCACACTTTTCTTCAAGAGATGGAATAGTCTGAAATTAAAATTGATAACTAAAATTTATTCATCTTATAAAACTTGTTGGAAATACGTTTTCAGATCATAGTTGTCAGATTTGTGTATGTTGTATTAGCACAAATGAATAAATGAAAACACACCTTGTTATCAAAGGTTTAAACTTTAAAGTAATACTGTATATTCAATCAAGTTTTACTTAAATTAGAGACAAGATATAGTGATGCCAATAATTTCTGCTCTTGTTTGTCTGTACTTGTAGGTTCTGATTCATAACAAAATAAGTCAAAAACAACTTTAGGAGAAGCTTTAAAAATTTCTCGCTCATTCCATGAATAAGCACAATCAAAGTAGTTTGCGTTAGTTCATAAAATAATTAAATGCTTTCAAATACATCCTGCTATTATTAAGAAATTTGTGAGGTAAGAATACAAAATCCCCCTTGACAACCAATATGTGTAATGAAAAACTAAATTTATGAGTTCACAAACTTTAATTGTATTAGCTTGTGGTGAGCAACAGATTGACTGCTTTTACAAGATAAAAAAAAAACATTGGAAGGAGGTTTCAGTATAGTAAAAAATATTTTTTTATGATTTGATTTCAATTAAATGAATATATTTTTTTGAGTACTGATGGATATCTAATACAAACACAGTCAGCATAGTGACGGGATTATATAAGTTGATCAAAGCTAGAATGAGTTTACCTTTACACATGACAGAATGCCTTCCGCTGATTCCTTTAGCTTTGCATTAACAATACTATCACCTGAAAAATCAAACCAAAACTTAGTGCAAAATTAATATTACTACTTACACAAAAGTAAATAATAAATGCACAAGAAGAAAAGGTCAAAAAGGACCCTCAAAGCCTCATCGTGATGTCGTTATACTCTATATAGAGCAGCAACGGTCTATATGGTTTTAAAATGTCCTAAGTACATACCGTATATATTTGATTAAATATATACGGTATGTATATATTTAATCAAATATATACGGTATATATTTGATTAAACACTCAGGGGTGTTTATTGTAGAAAAGGGTTTTTGAGGGGGTGTTTATTCGAGGGATGCATATATTCGAGGAATGCATATATTCGAGGGACATGTTTTCTTTTCTTTGGCATAAAATGGATACATACGCCCCTAATTCCACTGTAAATGTGGAACTACAACACATAATTACAGTCAAAATGTGTCATTGCGTGATCATAAAGACTTATTGATCCAACCAGGTTAGAAAAATTGTAAATCTACTGGTGTAGACCATTAATAGAATGTGTTGAGAATGATGTTGCTTTGTTTGTGTAGTCATTTTAGGGGAGTGGGGGTGGTGGCAGCATTTATTTGAGGGAGATGTTTATTCCAAATGAGGTTCTAGAGGGGGAGTTTATTCGAGAGGGGCGTTTATTCAATGCTGGATGTTTATTCAAATAAATATGGTAGTTAATGATGAAAAATAAATAAAGTTGACCTTAAAAATTGCATATCATACTTCTTTAGTAATAATGTTTTTAACTTTATTTTGTCATCAGCTATCATGATGACATATCTTAATGTCATATTATGTCATATTATTATGTCATATTATAATACAAAACAAAATTGCTTAATATTCTTACTGGCTTGTGATAATGAGAATTTGATTTCCTCATCGACATTAGCCTCTGGGGTAGGGTGGTACTCTTCCTGTAATACACAAACATTGAAAGAATTACCAATAAAAATAATAATTACCATGATACATAGCATATTAGTCCTTACTATTTTTAATATTATAATTATAATACTGTAGTTACTGTATATAATCAATTCAATTCAATGAAACATTGTTACTGTATTATCCCACGATGAGGAAATTTGTTTGGCCATTTGACAGTAAACAATATAACAAAAACATATATATATATATATATATATATAGTACACAGTAGTACACCTCATTTACAATCTGTTAAAAATTGATCTTTTAGAAATTAAAAATAAGAAACAAACACTATATACAACATGGAAAAATTAAAAAGTTTAATAGCAGTGGGAACAAATAAGTTTCTCTATCTATTTGTTTTAATCTTACGTGCAGAAGTCGATCACCTCTTCAACTTTCTAAATGTTCTACTATAATATAATAGAACATTTACAATATTGCAGTAAATATTATACAGCAATAGCATTAAATACCGAACAATATAACAATAACAATAATAATACTAACAATAAAACAATTTAAAAATAAAAGCTAATTTGCATTACTAGAGCTGCATGTTCACTCATCAGTTTCCGAGCAACTTGTTGTGATACTGCCTTTGGGAAGTTCTTTCTCTTACTGGTTGTCGTTACTATTTGTGCATCCAAGGTTATTGCCAATTCCTCCACCTCCCTGCGTCGTTTGACATCGATTGGATCATATTCTAAAAATAAATAACATTAATTATTCATGGTTTTCTATTGTAATATTTTTAATGTTCCACTCTTATTGGATTCTTATTACAGGAGATCCTTATTGATTTATATTTGAGATTTACCATATTTACTAAGATGGAATATTTCCATCTTAGAAAATTTGTTAAATCTCAAATAAGAATCTAATATTTTTATTTATGGTCATTACAAGTCGATATAAATTTTAAGCATGCCTATGAAAAAGTAAATTTTGAAATCTTTTGATTGGATGTGATGAGAGACGAAGTCATGTTTACCTAGGCACACCCACTGAGAATTAAATTGTAGCTGTAAATATCCTGAAATCTCCTTCTTGTGATTGGCTGTGTATGCTGTGAGGTAAGCAGCGTCATTTACATCTGGACATGCCCAAAACTAGCAATTAACTAGGCCTACACAATAATGAATGCATAATTTGTAAGCATGCTGTTTAAATAAATTTCCATCTTAATAAATTTGGTAAATCTCAACTAAGAATCAAATATTTTTATTTATGGTGATTACAAGTCAATATAAATTTTTAGCATGCCTATGAAAATGTACATTTTGAAATCTTTTGATAGGATGTGATGAGAGACGAAGTCATGTTTACCTGGGCACACCCACTAAGGAGTAAATTATAGCTGTAAATATTCTGAAATCTCCTTCCTGTGATTGGCTGTGTATCCTGTGAGGCAAGCAGTGTCATTTACATCTGGACATGCCCAAAACTGGCAATTAACTAGGCCTACACAATAATGATTGCATAATTTGTAAGCATGCTGTTTAAATAAATTTAGTTTTTGATAGTTCATCAGGAAACTGTTAACAACAAACTTGCCTTGTGCTTTGTCAGGAGTCTCCTCACCAACATTGCTCCAGGTCTGACCATCTATTAAGATGTTTTCATGCTGGGTGGTTTCATACATCTAACAATATACAATTTTATATAATATTAATATGGAATTACTTTAATATAGATGGAGTATGACTTTAATATTGAAATGATTTCTGCACCTCAAATATTTGGAAAAGCCTTGAGAATTGGCACATTTTCCAATAACATGTAAGTTAGGAGTAGGTATTTTTAGCTCGGCAATAAGGCCTAACCTGCAGCCTGCTAGGGAGTCTACCCTGACCACACCGAAACAGTCCATGTGAATTCCCAGCAAGCATACCATGGGATGGGACGGCATGATGATGATGATGGCACGCTGGCATGCATGTGGGCAGTATTCTAAAGATGCAAACTTTTATTTTAACTCAGTTTTATTTGTTCTTACAAACTTAAAGAAATTTACTAACTATATTATATTAAATTAATAAATAATAAATAACTGCATTGCAGGCTAAACACAAGAATAACAGTGTCAGCACAGCAACACCAGTCTGGAGAGAGGTAGGTTAGGCCTAATACAGTAATACAACATGAAGCCTGAGGTTCATGTTCGCACAGCAAAACCTCACCCGACTGACCTGGAATGATGGAAGGTCCTGCATGAGTGACAGGGCCTGAAGATATCGTCAGTGTCTTACCTCAATAAATCGTTTTGTTAGCCGTTCTTTCTGATCGTCATTCAATTGACTACTATCTGCAATTGCTTTACTAACAGCTGAACACACTGCACATATAGCATGTTTTACAGAACGCTTGTTATGGCATAAAATCTGCGAAGGTTTTACATCGTCCATTTTGAATTTTCACCGCCAACAACAACAAGCAAGCCCAAAAAGTGTGTTTGTTTGTTTGAAATTCGCGATATTGCGCATGCCTCGTGTTAGCAGTCGACGTTTGTATTTCTTGTCAAAACACAAAACAATAAACAACCAGACTCATGTTGGCCTAATAAATAATTAATTTCAATCGTGAAACTGAAACTACGCTATGAATGGATTTATAGACGGACATTGTCATATATCAGCGTCAGAGTTTGATAAGGTTGATTCATGTAGAATATTAGTCATCACTCATACTCTAGCTAGGCCTAGCTGAGCTAGAAAAGGTAGTCCGGAGTGGACTTACTTTGTCTTTGGTTTGGAAGAAAAAGGTTTCACACCAAAGTAGTCAGCTCTTTACCAAATATGGTCAACTCGAACCAATTTGTGTTGGTGAATAAAGACAATGAATACAGTGCTCATTTCAATATAAATCTTTACTGTTAATCCCAATTATATTTTGCATAGTTTCTTCTTGTAAAATAACACACACAGAATGTTTTCATTTTTTACAGGATTTTGGAGAGGTGATAAGAAAAGCAAAAAAGGTGTGACAGTTTAATTGTTAATTTGTTGTTTTTTTTAATAATGGCAAATACAACACACTGAAATACAGTACAGTAGTTTAGTTGTAGAATGTAATAATGATATAGTTACTTTTATTTTCCAATATAAGGCTGGAGTTGAAGGGATAGTGGCTGTGACAGAGTTTAAAGAAGACTTTGAGAAAGTTCTTTCATTGTCTGATCAATATCCTGGCTTTATATTTCCAAGTCTCGGAATTCATCCTGTTCAGGTACTTGAAGATATTATACCAAATTATGTAAGTACAACAAAATATTTGACAAAATGAACAATTATTTATTTATTTTTTTCAGAATGACCAAGTAAATGGCCAGAGAGCTGCATGTCTCAGTGACCTAGAGGGCGTGTAAATGGCCAGAGAGCTGCATGTCTCAGTGACCTAGAGGGCGTTTTAGATCTAGTTGTCAAGCATGCGAACAAACTTGTTGCTGTTGGTGAGGTAGGTTCATGTGAGTAGTTCTCAAAAATTAAAAACATTTTTAAAATATAGAAATATTGCTTTTTGTCATTTATGAGGGCAGTATTTTGTTTTCAAGATATTTTAAATAACTTCCTGGGGTGGATGCACCCCTCCTAAATTGTTAAGAAAAAATGTTTATATTGTATTGTTGATATTTAATGAACATAGTACTGGTAAGATTTTAAAAGTGTGAGAGTGCAATTTCCGAACACCGAGAGGTACATATTTTCGATATGTTTGCATATCGGCTGAGGTGGTGTGGACTCTCGCGCATCCCTACTGCCAAATCCTGCATTCAGTGTTGTGATTTTGTATGTAGGGCATCAGTAGTTTTGTATTATTTTAAATACATAAATAAATTGATGTTGAATGAGAACACTTAATTTACAGTACAATGTAATTAATAAATTTAATTTACTTTATATTAATTGAAATACAGTATATAATTTTTGTTTGTTGTTTTAGATTGGTTTGGATTTCACTCCCTGGTACTGCAAATCTAAAGAGCAGAGGGATGAACAGCGCCAAGTATTCATTCAACAAATTCAATTAGCCAAGAGATTGGATCTACCAGTGTTAGTTAAAATTAATTATTCTTATCTAGGTCACAATTAACCCTCAAATGTTTGAAGACTTAATATCAGTGGGGTAACCACAGCCGTTCCCTGGCAAAATAACATAATTTGTCAGATAAAGGTTGCATGTTTGCAACTTGGCAATAAATTGTCATACCCTTCTGATATTTTACAGGACTATATATTTATAGACATTATGATTATATAAAAAATTTTAATTACAACTGTTGGTTTATTGCAAAGTTATTAACGATATTTACAGGTTTTTTACGTCGGAAACGTCAGGGGCGGGAATTAACCCTGAGAGTAAGGCTATGTAAAGATCTCTATGGTACAGCACCACCAAAGTGGATTCCACCAGTTATCAGTGGGGGTGCAAAAAGGCACAAGCTGTCGTAGATACACCAATTGTACATTTAGAAAGGGCTAAACCTGTCTCTTATACACATCTAGATGTGTATAAGAGACAGGCCTAATACAGTAATACAACACGAAGCCTGACATTCATGTTCGCACAGCAAAACCTCACCCGACTGACCTGGAATGATGCAAGGTCCTGCATGAGTGACAGGGCCTGAAGATATCGTCAGTGTCTTACCTCAATAAATCGTTTTGTTAGCCGTTCTTTCTGATCGGGAGTTGAAGGGATAGTGGCTGTGACAGAGTTTAAAGAAGACTTTGAGAAAGTTCTTTCATTGTCTGATCAATATCCTGGCTTTATATTTCCAAGTCTCGGAATTCATCCTGTTCAGGTACTTGAAGATATTATACCAAATTATGTAAGTACAACAAAATATTTGACAAAATGAACAATTATTTATTTATTTTTTTCAGAATGACCAAGTAAATGGCCAGAGAGCTGCATGTCTCAGTGACCTAGAGGGCGTTTTAGATCTAGTTGTCAAGCATGCGAACAAACTTGTTGCTGTTGGTGAGGTAGGTTCATGTGAGTAGTTCTCAAAAATTAAAAAAAATGTTTAAAATATAGAAATATTGCATTTTGTCATTTATGAGGGCAGTATTTTGTTTTCAAGATATTTTAAATAACTTCCTGGGGCAGATGCACCCCTCCTAATTGTTAAGAAAAAATGTTTATATTGTATTGTTGATATTTAATGAACATAGTACTGGTAAGATTTTAAAAGTATGAGAGTGCAATTTCCGAACACCGAGAGGTACATATTTTCGATATGTTTGCATATCGGCTGAGGTGGTGTGGACTCTCGCGCACCCCCTACTGCCAAATCCTGCATTTGTTGTGATTTTGTATGTAGGGCATCAGTAGTTTTGTATTATTTTAAATACATAAATAAATTAATGTTGAATGAGAACACTTAATTTACAGTACAATACAATTAATAAAGTTAATTTACTTTATATTAATTGACATACAGTATATAATTTTTGTTCGTTGTTTTAGATTGGTTTGGATTTCACTCCCTGGTACTGCAAATCGAAAGAGCAGAGGGATGAACAGCGCCAAGTATTCATTCAACAAATTCAATTAGCCAAGAGACTGGATCTACCAGTGTTAGTTTTAATTAATTATTCTTATCTAGGTCACAATTAACCCTCAAATGTTTGAAGACTTAATATCAGTGGGGTAACCACGGCCGTTCCCTGGCAAAATAACATAATTTGTCAGATAAATGTTGCATGTTTGCAACTTGGCAATAAATTGTCATACCCTTCTGATATTTTACAGGACTATATATTTATAGACATTATGATATATAAAAAATTTTAATTACAACTGTTGGTTTATTGCAAAGTTATTAACGATATTTACAGGTTTTTTACGTCGGAAACATATCAGGGGCGGGAATTAAACCAGAGGGTAAGGCTATGTAAAGATCTGTATGGTACAGCACCACCAAAGTGGATTCCACCAGTTATCAGTGGGGGTGCAAAAGAGGCACAAGCTGTCGTAGATACGCCAATTGTACATTTAGAAAGGGCTAAACTGTCCGACGACCTGGGGATGTGATCATTTCTGGTGGCAACCAGTAGTCAGGGTTTGCATTCAAACATACAACCAATAAAACACACTCATCTTTAGCAATATGTTCTTCATAGCATTTTATGATACTGTATATATTTTCTTTTTTAAACCTATAACTTTTCAGAGTAATGACACATGGATTTCAACATTTTGTTTCCAAAATAGAAATGTCCACTCTCGGTCAGCTGGGCGACCAACAGTTAACCTTTTGAAGGAACAGGGTGAGCTTTATAATTCACTTTTTAGTCAAACAATCAATCATATATATATATATATATATATATATATATATATATATATTTCTTTCTCGCATTTTTTTTGGTTATAAGATGCCCAATATATGAAACTGTTGCACCTGTTCAACTGTGCTCCTTTCAGCTCAATTTTTAACCTGTATGCTTTCTTTGTGTATAATTAATAAAAGGCAGTGTGAATATAATTTAATGTAATTGTAAAAGCAGGTAGGCCATTTTCATTTTTTCATACTGTACATTTTTATATTATTAATTTTTTCAGGTGCAACAAAGGTTCTTCTACATGCTTTTGATGGTAAACCTTCAGTAGCAATGCAAGGTGTTGAATGTGGATTTTACTTTTCAGTGCCACCTTCAATTATCAGGAGTGAACAGGTGAATTGATTATTGTTAATTAACTAATTAATTGGTATATTGATCTTGAAATATTTTCTAGTTTTCCATCATTGTTCACTTTCTCTGCAATTTGCAATTTTTTTGACGTCTCTTCCTGTAATCTTGCAGAAACAACGGTTGGTGGCCAAAATCCCTTTAGAAAACCTGCTCCTAGAGACAGATGCCCCAGCACTAGGACCAGAGAAAGAGGTTTGTTTAAAGTTGACATCAGTGTGTCTGAGCGATTATAGGAGTTTGTGTCAGTTGGAATAGATCATTTTTATAAAGGAAGGGAAACATAAGAGTGAGTGGGTAGCTCTATCTTTGGTATTCCAGAAAACAGGTTTTAGGCAGTAAAAAGGAAGGAAGTTGGGGAAGGAAGATAGATGTCCTTTCCTCATTTTGGTCTGCAACCAGTGAAGCAAAGCCTATGGGCGCTCAGGGAGGGGAGGGCGAATAATGAAGTAAAGGGCGACTAAGAATTCACAGAGAATTTGAATTAAATTATAGTAATATAACATGCTACAGTATTATTATTCTACAATATGCGCTATATAAGTCGACAATTATTATTATTTGATATTCTGCTGTGAAGGAGTCTCTCCAATCGACTACTAAAAGGGCCCTCAAAAAACTTTCTGGCCACAGTCCCTGTGATTCATTACGCCACTGTCTGAAACTAATGGTTACATGCATTTGTGTTAGTTCCCTGTTTGTGTGTGAGATTTTAGCTTTCTCTAATTATTGACTACAATTGTGCATTTTCTTTGGTAGGGAAGAAACGAACCTTCAAATATCACCATCTCCTGTGAATGGATTGCAAAAATCAAGAACATAACCACTGATGAAGTCAAAAGACAAACAAGATTAAATGCGCTTACACTTTTTCCAAAACTATCAGCTTTTTTAAAGAGGTGATTGAGCGGTGGAATCTCTTGTCAGTCTGAGTGAGAAGGGTTGGGTGCGTTCCTTCTCTATTCTAGGGGCAGATCCAAAATTTTTCAATCGGGGTCACCATATTTTCAGAATAGTTAAGTTGGGAGCGCTAGAAGCAGTGGCATAACGAAGGGGTCGGAGTTCCTATTTAAAAATATTGGGTCCAGGGGTCATAACTCCAGAATTTTAACCATTTTAGTAATATTTTAGTGATAATCTTGTATTATGATATGTTTGTATTAGGAAATATCATAGGAGTGATGTTTTTGCCCTACTATACTGATTTTTTTTTTTTTTAGCAGCAGGTTGGGCGGGGGTTGGATTGGTCTTTGCCATCTTTTTTAGCCTTGCTCCATCCGGGAATATACGAGGCACTTAGACGACTTGAATGTTAACTACAAAACATTATGGAATGCTTCCCCAGGGATCTGTATTTTCGATATTTTGATTGATCCAATGCAATGATAAAAATATAAAATCCTGTTTAATAAATAATAAATATGGTAAATAAAAATCATAAATAATGAAAAATAGTTATTAGAATTATTTATTAAAAAATACACACAAGTGACACAACATACATTATATAAAAGATTATTTTAGTACAGTATGTAAAATAATTCATATTAAAGAAATTGTTTGGTATACAGTACAGTATAATAGTTCAAGCATGTTTGAAGCTTTCAGTGTTTTTTATTTTAATACATACAGTAGACTACCATTCAACTTCATAACATTTCACATAAATTGTTTTATGGTAATATTTCTTGGAAGGTTTACATGGTGAGTAAAATAATACAACTTTTGGTACACCATGTGTAAGAATATGGTTTTTATTAAAAAAAAAAAAAAAAAAAAAAAAAACTGGTTGTCTCGACGTTTTGGTAAGATTATTATTTGAGGTCATGAGGTTACATGTAACGTTACATTTCATTGGTTGGATAGTTTCCAAGGCACCAACAGAAATGTAAAAATTATTTGGTACATTTTGCAATTATAGTTTTTAGCAACATAAATTGAGACTCTATATGCCTTGTTTCGCAAACATATTTTTTTTAAAGATTATCAGAGAGTAGATAAAAATAAAAGTTTTTTTTCTCATTTAGCAAAATTATTTTGCCAATACTATCTAGGCAGAGGAGAAAATATAAATAAATTATTATTAATGAATTAAATGAATTAATGAATTAGTGTAGTAATGACATTGATAAATGCTTTAAATTTATATTATATAATTAATTATTTTTGGAGATTTCAGGGGAGCAGAGGGCGTAATAAAAATATATGTATCATTTTATTTGTTTATGAAATTTCCATTTTTTGACATAATAAATAATTATTTTATTTTTGTTCAAAATTGCCATTATTGGTGGTCGGTAGGTTGGCTAAACAAGGTATAAAAAAGTCTCGCCTAAAGTTCAATTAAAGCTGTATTTCTTTGGAATAATTATTGATATAGTACGAGTCAGAAAAAGTTTAATATTGTAAAATAGAAGTTATATTGCTAACAATTATATATAAAAAAAATTATAATTTTTACATAACACATAATTAAAGTCAATATAAAACACTAAAATACAGCGAGTCTACAATTTCAGGGAAAAAAAAATATTGAATACATGATACAAAAAATTAGTGGCATTGCAATGAGCTAATAACCTATCAATGGAAGAGAAAACAGACTATTTTTATGTACGTAACAATTTTACATCAAATAGTTTGTTGTCATTTTAAAGATATCATGTTTTTTATTTTCATTGGAGTACACAGTTTACCCCCGCCCCCCCCACACATAAGTTTTTTTGTACTCATAAAATGATGAAAACAGTAGGTGACCCTTACAGTAGAGGGATGCTTAGTTTTTACATTGCATTGCTTTAATTTTACTGTAATAATATTTTTAAAATCAAAATTTCATATCTAATATTCAGTTGAAACTGGAAGTTATTTAATTGTGCATTTTGTAGGGTTTTTCAAACATATATTTTAATATCAAATTTATTGCAAATGTGATTGCTTAGATCAACAATTTGTTTGTTTTATTCAACAAGTTTCCATTAAATCTAAATTCTACGACTACAAGTCCAACATTGATGCATATGAATATGCATAGGCTATCTAAGATATGCATATTTATTATTTTTGCATATTATTAATTTTCAAAACTTTAGATTATATTTGATAATGCACCATGATGAAATATATTAATATTGCTCCAAGTTTAAAAGTTGAACAAGTTCACCCACATCAGTATTCATGTCAAATAGCATGTGTGACCGTCGCCATGGTAGCACCATCATCGATCTTCTCAGCTCGTGGTTGACTTGATGGATGTGATAATGACTCAAATAGCTAGATGGCTGTAAGCTGTAGAACAAAAAGAAATCAAACTTACTTGATATTCAACGTGCATATAAATATTTCTGTTTTTAAAACCAACGAAATGGTAGGTCTTATAAAAAGAACCTTCATTTATAATGACAAGGATATGTTTTTAATATTTAAATTATACAAGTCTTTAGTTCGTCCTTTTTTAGTTCGATCTTTTTTGTTTGTAATGTTCCTGTGTAAGTAGGTCATTTAAGCTTTGAGCTTTTTTACTAGTCCGATAAACGAAACACTAAAATACTTACAGCTTTTGTTTGGGAAATGTCGTCGCTCTCTGTGTGTTCTATCGTTGACTTCAAAAGTACATCTCGACGCTGTTTCCTGGTTTCTGTTTGGACTGAACGCTGTGCTTTTAAATGCATCTGGGTTGTGCTTCCTTTCTGTTCTACACCAGGACTGCCGATTGCTTAATTCTACAGCACACCATGATTCACGAGTATTGTTTATTTCTTGCAATTCTTGTGAATTCATATTTGCTGGGCTTGATAATATAAATCTATGAAACTGAAATCTTACGAACTCAACTCAACAGGTGTCTCTTGTCACACTAAACCACTTCCTTGTTTACAGTCAACAGGGAACTTGAGCGTGCCTGTTGTCATGACAATTGTGTCGCCCTCTATCGATAGGTTTTCAATGGCGACTGAAAAAACCCCCAGTAGTTGCTTGAGTTTACCATGGAGGAAATACAGTAGTATGTGGAGATATATTATTTTTATTTCATTTATCGATCACTGTAATCCAGAAAAGTGTAACGATATGTCCAAGTGTGTGCATCCCAACTTTGGTGCCAGCACTGAGATAATTAAACAAAATAATGGGCCCTAATACGGTATACAGTGTAGTAACCGGACTTGCTTTCTAGATTCAAGAACTTCAGTATTGGTCTATATCTGTATAAAGCCCTGTCTAGACTATCAAATTTTATTTGACAAAACATATGACATGCCTAAATATGGTCATGATGTTTTTTGTCAAAGGAAATTTGATAGTGTGGACAGATCTTAAACTACATACAACGACAAAAATAAAATATATAAAATAGTAAATTGAAAAGTCAGAGTAAAAAAACAACAAAAATACAGTATGTAAAATAGTAAAGTGAAAAGAGTGTGAAATGGGAGTCTATCTTTTAACATTATAATTAACATGTGGATACTATTAAAAACAAATATGTTTTCGGTGGACGTTAGCCATGTCCTGCAGATTTATTGAATATTATTATAGCAATTATAGAGAGGGTAGCTATGCCCCTTCATAATGTTTTTCACTTTTTTGTTGATGCACTTCTCATAAATTGTTGACCAGGGCATCAGATCTGACTTAGGATAATACGAAGTGCAATTTTTCTCAAGACTGTACTTATTTTCAGTATAATGTCCATAAAAACATACAATTGCTAAAAGAATATACTTAAAATTACACTTTAATAAAACAAGATTATTAAAATTGTATTATCAAATCTGTGTTGGTTTAAGCTTTATTAATTGATTAATGTTTGTACTACAGTAAAAGACGTTGACAATCTAATAACACCCGCCCCTACTTTCAACAACAAAAGTTATAAATGGGACTTACTTAGCGCCACATAAACAGGAAAGAACCAACCAACCTGATTTTAGAGTCAGTCCGATGATAAAGAGCCATTTACCCACGGACTTGAGAAATGTTTTTGTTCAGGCTAATAAACTGAAACTGAAAATGGTCAATATTTCAATTGAATTGCTTGCTTTGTTAATCAGTTGCTGTCAAGTCAATTAAACGACTTTTAATTAGCAGTCACATATTATTATTACTTTATGTTTGATCAGTTTAAAATATTTTTTTAAATAAATAGATTAAATTTCTTATTAATGTTTTGAATCCTCCTATTGAAATTTTAACCATTTAAAATAAATGTTTTTATCCTTGATGTATTTTTCTTATCCAGTTGGTTTTTTTGTAATGTGGTTTTACAATTTTTATACCTCCTTGGTTGTATCGATGTAAAAATCTTGTATCGATCTTTTCTTTTGAAGGCCCCGCAACCCCGCGAGTGCAATATTCAAAAGATTATAGACCTTTAAATTTGCTTGTAAGCAATGTAAAGAATTTGTACTATGTAGTATAAATTTCGTAATTCAATTGAAAACAGTTGTTTTGGTCTGTTGGCACTTTTGGCAGTTTATAAGAGATGATCACAAAAAAATATAATGTATCTACTGCCCTCTATCGCTACTCACGACGTCATGTGATTTGAGAATTTTCGCTGCATTTTCAGGGTCGTGCAGAGATCATCTTTTTAACTAATTATTAGGGTGTCAATATGTCTGGAAAAGATCGTATAGATGTGTTCCCTTCTAGAATGTAAGTGGCATTTGGCATGTTATTGTAATGGCTTTATTTTACTTCCAGTGGCATTTAAGCTAGGCCCTACCATGGCTGATCGAAAAGTCACCACACACCACTGCTGGGCGGTTTGGAAGGGCTTGGTTTAGCATGCCAGGCCTAACAATAAGTCAAAAGATTTTCGGTGTGAAGGAGGCTAGGCCTACGCAACTATTTGTTATTGTTTAGTACAGTAGTAGTAATACTTCTTTACTAAGTGAATACTATAGTCTCTGCCATTGACTGTGTATGTATAATGTAATGATACTGTAATAAAGTTTTAATAAGGCCACGAGAATGAAAGTTGTAGGTTTGCGTCCGAAAAATTTTGAAAACACATGAGGCATTTTTTCATTTTTCATTATTCATTATTTTTTTTTATAAATGTTGTGCACAAGCCGCGGCATTGGTAATTTTACATTTATTCCCAAGCAAGAAACAATGCTTACAGTCATAAATGTACACTAGCCTATATAAAACAGATCCTTTTCTACATTTAAGACCTCTTTAAACATACGAGATTTCCTATTAATCAGAAAGATCGATTTGACCCGAAAATGACCTGAGCAGTGATCGGCGATCATGGTGCGATGTGGCCAGGCCTGCCTTCACTCGGTGTTCGCGACGAGTGATCAGTGATGAATAGATCGTTTTTCTGTCTGTTTACGACTTAGAAAGTCCGTTTTTTAAAACGAAGTATATTTTTTTTCAAAATAATGAACTTTTCAAAATAATGAAAATTTTCGTGCGGTAGCTTTTTAGGCATGCGGGCGGTGGACGCAAACCTACAACTTTCATTCCTGTGGCCTAAAATAAAAAAAGGGAAAAAGAATAAAGCAATTTTAGTATAGGTTAGGCTAGCTAAGCCTAGCCTAGGCTAGCTAGTGATATTTTCTCATCGATTTTTGGTCATCCCATGGTTGGCTATACAGTATTGTAGCTGAATCCGAGGTGCTGATTGGTGGAGCTGGCATAACCCTAACCTTAAAATTCATTTTCAATATAGAGCCTACGTCATGTTGAAAGAATAACCATTTAAATTTGTTTATATATGTGGCAAAGACAAGCCAAACCAGTCACTCGTCGCAAATATCTATTTTGAGATATTAATACAGGATTAAAGAGTAAAGTAAGACCTATAATATGGTAAAGAAAATAATTTAAATCCGACATTTTTTTAAGAAGTTACAAGCATTTAAACATACTGTACAGCTGTTTAAAGAACAATATATGAAAAATCAGCCTTCAAAGTTTATGATTTCGGGCATTCCTCATGCATAAACTATCATCAAATCCTTAAAATGTGTTGTTTTAACATTGTAAATGGCTAAAATTAACAGCTTAGAATGATGTATTAATGATATATAAATGTTGTTTTGTGCAATAAAATAGATTTTTAAAAATTTGACATTCCATCATGTTTTAGCCATTTTTTCTGAAGCACGATTTGCGACGAGTAACTAGTTTGTCTTGTTTTTGCCATATATATGTTTTTTCAATGATTGGATTTATGTGAAGTGAACACCAAGCAAGGATAACCCATGAAAGTTGAAAGACTTATTTCCAATGGGGTCCTTCTGCTGGTGATATTGGCTAGGAATCACCTTGGCTAGCACACCCTCCCAGAAGTAGTCCCCTAGCCTACTCTTCGTTCTTTAACATGCACATTTCAGCCCTCCAGCAGAAACATGTAGAGAGCAAATTAATTTTCTGTTTTCATTTAAAATAATGTACCAAGTCAATAAAAAATGTAGACTTGCTGAACTTTATGACCAAATGAAAAGTCTGTAAGGCGTGGAGGCAAGGGTTGCTCTAGGGTGGATATACATGTACATAGGGGGTGGGGTAAAAAGCTATCCAGTTGGGTGTCTGTGAATGGAGCTCAGTACCTTTTTGGTATTGGTTTATTGAAAAATATTTACCATTGACTATCGTAGAATTGTTTTATATCTTTTCAGGGCTCTGACAATTATGAAGAGTCGTTTGAAGGGAGCCCAGAAAGGACACAGTTTGCTTAAGAAGAAAGCGGATGCACTTATTCTACGATTTAGGAAGATTTTAGGAAAGATTATTGATGTAAGTGATTCTTGTGATGTAAAAGACACAAACAATACCCTCACATACACTTTTCGCAATCAACTAATCTAGTAATAAGCACATTTTAAACAATAAGCACATTTTTTGCAATGAGCTCACAAAGCTTAAAGCAATGAGTTACAACAGTCTAGCTTTGATGTTACAAAAGCGTGTACGAGAATGACACAATGACATCATATCATATAATTTAAAAGTGTATCAAAAAGAAAGTTGAATGTGTTCAACATTTTTTTTTATGTTGTCTGTCAAAAAGTTGTCAGATTTCTTAGAAAACACCTTTTGACCAATAAGCAAACGCTACAAATCATACCAACTAATCGGATTTGATAATTCAGTTTCATCAAATTACATCACATTTTTTGTATGCAATTTGATGTATTTTTATGATATTGTTCCATCACATTTTATGTAAGTTGTAACACTTTTTTGATGAAATTTGATAGTGTAGAGAGAGCTAAATAAATGTCCAAAAACATGTGACTTACCTAAATATGGTCATGATGACATATATAGGCACGTCATGACTATATATGGGCATACAATAATTATTTTTATCATAGAAAATTTGGTAAATTGTGGACAGAGATTTAAAGCTATGAGTGAATTCAAACTTATCTGTATTGTTTTTTATAATGCGGCTTAATAGGTTTTGGTTTGTGTCAGTTTGCTTTGGAAAATGTTTCGAATTTGTTTATTGTACATGCAATCACTTATCCAAATTTTTAAATATATATAAGCTTGTGTTTTATTTAATTAACATGGTAATCTTTTAATATATATATTTTTTTGCAGACTAAAACGAAGATGGGAGAATGCATGAAAGAAGCCTCTCTGTCACTTGCTGGTGCTAAGTTTACAAGTGGCAATATAAGGTTAAGAATTTTATCTTGTTTTTCAAACAAATTAAAAATATGTTTACAAAGACACAAAAACACAAATAGAAAAATAAATGAAATATAAAAAATATAAATATATAAGGAAGACTTTTTTATATGTTTTTTCGCAAACTTATTTTTATTTTAAGGATCGTCAGAGGAGGGTGAAAAAAAGAATAGAAATAAAATTTTGTTTTCTTGTAAGTTTTTTTTTTAACTTGATCAAAGCACAAGATCTATGTTAATATTTCTTAGAAAATATACAAAACTGAAATAGTAATTTGAACTCATCATCCTTAAATGAGGCCAGAAACTCAACTGCGAATTCTTGTATCCTCATGAATATATATCTTATTTTCAGCCACATGGTTTTGCAAAATGTAACAAAGGCACAAACTAAAGTTAGAAGTAAGAAAGAAAATGTTGCAGGTAAGAATGTTTTGACAATGGTGCTTCTATCTAACCTAAAATGAATTTATTTCTTATTCCTGTGCAGTTTGTTTTTATTTTTTTAATTCAAGCAGAAAACCAAATTATAACATATGATCAATCTCTAAAGAAACACTTTAAAATCGATAGTTATCTATTGGTTGTTAATTAAGTTATCACAACCATCAAATTTCGCAGCAACTGCCATGTATTTCTGTATAGCGCCCTCTATAGTATGATATCAAGCGTGAGCAAAATGGTAAATCTACATACAAAGACAGATAATGATAGTATGAAAAAACAAATATTAAACATCATCAAATTAGATGTAATTATTCTTGATCCTATTAAGATTTTAAGCCTTCAGTAAATGTTTGTGCCACGTGTATATAAATGTACAGTAATCGTTTCTGAATTAAAATGGTTGCTTATTGCTGTGATTCAAAGTTTAGCCTTATTTACTTGTTAAGCCCTGTTTCCTTAAAATCACTACACTTTAGCTACAGTTTTTTCAGTGCAATCGTTGTGCTGCGTTTGCAGACTCCGACGCAGTTGGGAAGTCTCCTTGATTTGACCAACCAATTATCAAAAACTGTCGAAAGCATGTAGCGATTGTATGGAAACCATGCTTTACAGATGATAATAACTTGTGAATTAACCATGAATAAACTTGGAAAAAAAATGTTGATATATTTGATTTTTACTCATCTTCACAGGTGTCAACCTCCCAGTTTTTGAACCATACTCTGAAGGAAATGACAGTAAGTATTCATCTTGAATAAACTGAAAGTAGTGGTCTGCTGGTATAGTGCCCAGCTTATCATTCCAAGGCCAAGTGTCCAATCCTTTATCTGATTAATTAGACAGCTTCCTGTTTAAATCTTGACACATTCTTTGCAAGGATTTTGTGGGTTATCCTTGCATCCATTATTTGTTTATTTAGGCAAATATGTACTTTTTCTTGTTTTTTAATGCTAAAGTACAGTATTATGTTTTGTAAATGTGACATGCTAATTATCAGTAAAACTTTCACTGTATTTAAACAATTAAATTATTAGTACTTTTCTAGAAAAAATTTTTCTAGAAAATTATTTTTCTTTGTTCATATAATCTAATAAGAATAATTTATTTCCACAGCTTATGAGCTAACTGGTCTTTCACGAGGAGGTCAGCAGATAGATATTCTTAAGAAGAACTATGCTAAAGCTGTTGAACTATTAGTGGTATTGGCATCTCTACAAACCTCATTCATTACATTGGACGAGGCTATTAAGATCACCAATAGACGAGTCAATGCTATTGAACATGGTATGTGTTCTATTCAGTCTTTCCTGGTATTTTATTCTTTCTTGGAAACAGAGGCGTAACTACATGAGGTGCAGACGGGCACGTGCCCGGGGCGCTGAACTGAAGGGAATACCAAAATTGAGCCTGGACAAAAATTATATAGGACTATCTGAGGTTCTTTTTTTTTTTTTTAATCAATTAACAACCAAAACAACAAGTTCAAAACAGAAGTCATTCCTATTTTTGCCCCAAAGGCCCTGCCTGGAAATATTACTGGATAAGACTGTGGCTATTCATCTTCCTGTTTCTCCTTTGTCTGTTTGGATATTTATTTCCCTGTGTGTCTATTTTTGTCTCTATGTTTATCTGTATATTTACTGTACCTCCTAATGTATATTGAAATGAATCCAGCAATATATTTGAAGAACTACTGCATGCTTTCTAGCATGTCCATGAAAATATAATAATTCTTCGTAATATCAGATTTAATTCTTTGCCATTTACGTTAAACTTCTTCTTTCCTCACCTTGTGAGGGCATTGACTGTTTAATCTCCATTGTAAAAGTGGTTGTAATGTTTTTTTTTTTTAGTTATTATTCCAAGAATAGAAAAGACTATCCAATACATCAAAACAGAACTTGATGAAAAGGAGAGAGAAGAATTCTACAGGTTAAAGAAGATTCAAGAAAAGAAGAAAATAATCCGAGAGAGGAATGAGAAGGAAAAGCTAGAACGATTGGCAGCGTATACAAGAACAGAAGAAGAGCCCCACAATCTGATAGATGAACGAGATGAAGATCTATTGTTCTAGCAAAATTTATCTAACAAAAATAAACTTGGGATAATTTATAATAGTAGATGTATTTAACAAATTATAATCTTTTTTCCCTCTTTTCTATCTATCTTTTTCAGTTTATCAGTCATTAAGGGTACATCGTTCCATGTCAAAACTTTGGACTGAGTATGTTCAACAGAAAGTTGTGCACATTAGTATTTATATACTGTTCATCTCAGTATGACCTATGCACTTGTCAATTGTAATCCAAGCTTCTTTGGACCCAGGCCTAGTGGGGACTTAGCCTGAAATGTAACTTTAAAAAATGTTATGCCCGTGCACAAGTCCTGGCCACCAGCACACTTGTCAAATGCAATCCAAGCTTCCTCGGACCCAGGCCTAGTGACGGCTTAGCCGGAAATATAACTTTAAAAATTTGTATGTACATGTACAAGTCCTGGCCACCTACCCAGCTATTTTGCAGTACAAATGCCCGAAACTCCGGCTACACTGACATTTAGAATTCTCTGCCCTCTCCAGTTCAATTACACCTCCCAGCACTATGGGGAGGATACAAATATATGTACATCCCCGGTTCAGTCCTGGATAGTGCCCTGCTATTGTGAGGGCCTGAGGAGGGGGATTACAATTGACAAGTGCATTACTCCAAATAAAGTCAGATGTCCTTATTGCGATTTTATATTTTGACCTTTAATTGGATTGTATTTGGTAATGAAAAATTAATCATATACTGTATGTATAATGTTGTTATATTGCATTTAAACATTTTAAATTGTGTTTTAGGGGGTTTATATTGTATGGTGGATAAAATTGAAAAAATATTGTAAAAATGTAATACAATAATAGTGTATATGAAGAATATGTTTGTGATTATGTATTCAATTAATAATGCTAGACAGGATACCAGACTCGCCAGTCTGACTGTTATGCTATTCTATACCCTGCCGCTTAGATGTTGTTGCAAAGTACCCACAAACCAACAGCAAACACACCTTTGTTTGTGGTTCTAGCAAATATTCCCGAACCTGTTCTGAGTGGTCTGTTTGATTGGCACTCCAGGGATGTCCATAATGAGATACTATGCATCACTTGCGGAAATAGCACAATATAAATGTTAATAGATAATTAATAGTTGTAATTGTTAATTATCGTAATTATGATATTACAGTTTTGTGTTAAATGTCATTGCATTGCAAGTTGTAATGGCACAATTAATCATTCATCATTTGTGATGTGATTCAGTTCCTCCACTGAGCTCTTTGCAGTACTTTCCTTTTTATAAGTACTGTACATCTTCTCATGTCAAACATCTTCCTTCTTTCTGCTGTTCCTTATCGTTCTATTCTTCCTCTAATAACTTCCTTTAATTTTCCTCAGTGCATAACCAACCCAACATATGTATTCAAATTCTAAAGTTATATTAAGCTTGATCTCCATACAATCGCTCATAGTCGCTACATTTTTTTTTTTTTTTTTTTTTTTTACTGCAATTGTTGCATTGCGTAGCTGTTCCCGTCGCAATCGGGATCTCTCCCTGATTCAAATGGCCAATCAACGTCGCCAAAGGGGTCGGTGATGTAGCGTGTAGCGATTTTTATGGAAACCAAGCTTTAAAAAACATAATCATTGTCAATCACATAAACCACACGTGGGTACGTTGCGGCCCGATGTCAATTTTGTTGTGGCCCGTGAATATAATTAAAACTCGTGTGTGCGGCCAACCAAACTAACATTTTTGTTTATAAAACTCCTTGTTATGGCCCGACGTCGAACGTGTAAAAAGTAACATTAAAATAGCATAAAACTGTATAAACCTTGAAACCTTGTTTTTTATTCAGTATAAATACATAGCATTTAACCTTTGATCCGCACTCAATGAATTCCGAGTCGCATGCTCTCAGTGTCAGTCAAGCCAATCTGATTCATTTCTATGAAATATCGAATTATACTGTTGATTAAAAGTTAAAAACAAAAATAATGTTAACTACAAATACATATTCGTGTATGATATATACATTACACTTATACTGTACAATTTAGCAGAGATGATAATGAACATGCCATTGCACACCGGAATGCTGATGCTGAGTTTTTCCTCCCAGTGAGCATAAATGAATAGCCTTACCGCTAAAGCCTGGTTTCGACTATCGTCAATGTGGTAATTATTACAAAATGTATACACATGTAAACTATACATGCAGTGCAACCTCTATTTCGAGACAACTTTTTCAAAGATCCAGATAACAATCATCAAATCTTTTAACACAAAGCTAACCCTCTAAGTGGAGACGAAACCCTGAGACCACCCCAAAATTGTTCAGGTCCCAAGTCTCAAATTCGAGGGAGAACTGTACACAAATTTTGAACGGTAAAAAAGTGAAACACTCCAGTGCCGCATAGCAGAAAGCTCCAGTTCGATTCCCGGTTGAGCAATTTTTCACACTCGCCGGGAATGGAGATGACAACACGTTTTCTAAAATAAGATATTTTTATTTATAAATTTTGAACGCTAAAAAAGATAATATATTTTGTATAATATAGACAGCGCAAAACTTCTCGCTCAGAACAAAATTAACTTAAAACTACGTAAAGCATGCACACTATCATTATAGGCCAGCGCAGGAGCCATTCTTAATTACTGTATTAGCATTATTTTTTATTGCAGTAGGCCTACCACAGTATTACTATTATATGTTTATTGTTATTAAAATACACCGTCTATCTGGGCGGATTTAGGGGGTGGGGGCCGGCCCGGCTCCGCCTTTTGGGAGGTTAAAAAAAAAATAAAGATAAAAGAAAGATAGCTCAGAACGTCTCAAATATTATTTTCGGGCGTCTAGAACACAAAAATTTCGCGGGGGCATTTCCCGGACCCCCCTAGGGCAATGTTGTCTCGATCGGCCCAACTTCCCCCCCCCCCCT